TAAACTCTTCTACTTATGTTTGTGTGTGTGTGTATTTTTAGTGGGGTGGTCTATAACTGACTAGCTATAAAAAGTTCCTGCTTCAAATTTGAACAGAGATGTTCCTGAAATTTTTTCTGTCATTGGAAAATAAGAAAACTTCCTACTATAAAAAAGGTTGTCACATGTCTTTCTACAGTGTTTCAAAAGGCTAGTCTTGTGGCTGTTTGGAAAGCTATCCCTTGAGGGGATACATGACATTTTAAACTCTAGGCTAAAGCAGGGTCATCACCTCATGATATCTGCGGGACAGCTGATTGGAAACTGGCCAAGAGCTAGTGGGCCTAACATGTGGACTGCTGATTCCCCCTACTCCAGACCAGTGGTGAGAATTGTTGTTGTTGTTGTTTTTTTTTGAGATGGAGTCTCACTCTGTTGCCCAGGCTGGAGTGCAATGGTGCAGTCTTGGCTCACTGCAACCTCCGCCTCTCGGGTTTAAGTGATTCTCCTGCCTCACCCTCCCGAGTAGCTGGGATTACAGGCATGTGCCACCACGCCCAGCTAATTTTTGTATTTTTAGTAGAGATGGGGTTTCACCATGTCGGTCAGGCTGGTCTCAAACTCCTGACCTTGGTTGATCCACCCACCCTGGCTTCCCAAAGTGCTGGGATTACAGGCGTTGAGCCACCATGCCAGGCCGATAATTTATTATTTTTTTTGAGACAGGGTCTCACTCCATTGTCCAGGCTGGAGTGCAGTGCTGGGATTACAGGCATGAGCCACCATGCCAGGCCGATAATTTTTTATTTTGTTTGAGACAGGGTCTCACTCCATTGTCCAGGCTGGAGTGCAGTGGCATGATCTCGGCTCACTGCAGCCTCTGTCTCCCAGGCTCAAGTGATCCTCCTACCTCAGCCTCCTAAGTAGCTGGGACTACAGGTGCATGCCACCATGCCAGCTAGGCTAATTTTTGTATTTTGTAGAGATGTGGTTTCACCATGTTGCCCAGGCTGGTCTCAAACCCCTGAGCCCAAGCAATCCGCCCACCTCAGCCTCCCAAAGTGCTTGGATTAGAGGTGTCAGCCACTGAGCCCAGCTGACAAATTTAAACTATCTTTGGCACTCTTGTCCCCATTCTTTGTTCATCTTTCATACTGTACTCCCGCTTTAACCTAGCTTGTCTGCTTGCCCTCTCCTCATGATATGAACAAATTCCCATTTCTGTTCTTCAACATACAATTTTTTTGCTTTCAGAATGCTCACTCGTCTTTTATTTTGCTGGGTTATATCCAATATCTATTCTAAGACCTGACTCACAATATTTCTAAGAAGCCTTCCATTCATTCATTCACCATATACTGATGTGTCTGTGTGTGTGTGTGTGTGTATGTGTGTGTGTCCATACACATATAGGCCTTCCAAATTAACTTACACTCTACTATGTTCCTTCAACAATTAGGTTAGGTACCCCATTTGTTCTACTGTTGTACATTCTGCATGTTTTACACAGGCATTTTCAAGCTATTACACTTTATTCTGCCTTCCAATTAAACATTGTAAGTAGCGACTCTTTCATCATCTATCCTATATGATTGTCCCAATAATTAATAATAAAGTATTATAGTAGCAACTTGTACTCTCTTGATCCTCACAAAACCCTGTAATGGGCTAATATTACTTCATCCATATGTCTTCTTTGTAGACATAGAAACTGAGGTTCAAAGAGGTTACATTAGTTATTCCAAATCAAACAGCTTGTAAGTGGCAGGGAAGATGGCATTCAAGACCCGGGCTCAAGTAACTAGCCTCAATGTATTATGTAAGGCCCTAACGAGGGGCACTGAATATTAAGTAAAGCCTAGGAAAGACGTTGAGACAGAGGTTCTGAGGACAAAGAGGGCTCTAAATCAACAATGTTAACCGAAAAATACACAAAGCTGGCTGGGTGAGGTGACTCAGGCCTATAATCCCAGCACTTTGGTACCTGAGGCCGGCAGATTGCTTGAGGCTAGCAGTTAGAGACCAGCGTGGGCAACATAGCAAGACCCTGTCTTTACAAAACAAACAAACAAAAATTACACAAAAGCAACACCAGAGGCCCATTTGCATGGCGTGTTTTTGTTTATTTGTTTCGCCTAATATGGCTTCGTTTTGTTTGGAAGAAGGGATTGTGCCCTCCAAGCCTTTGCCATTTCACTCACCTCTCCCAACCTGGCCCTGTCCAGCCCCTCCCAGGAGGGCTCGGCGTATGGATGCTGGAGGTCACAGGCTGCCCAGGCTGGTGGTGACCTCGGAGGCAGAACCACGGCCTCGAGTCGGGCCTCTCTAACGGCGAAAGACTGACGCGGTCGGACCGCGCCATTCCCGAAACGTTAAGGGGTTTAACCTCCGCATCGTCCTCAAAGATGAGTAGGAAAAGGGCAGTGAGGGAGAACGTCTTCCCCGTCCGCCGTCTTCCTGCTCGCCCTTCTTGAAACCCAGCGTCCATCCCACGGCCTGATTTACTAAGGGAGTCTTGTAGCGTAGGGGATGGGGAAAAGTCATTGATTACGGTAATTTGGTTGGTTACTCAAACGGTCATTTACATATAATTTGCATGTTAATATACTTCTGAAAGTATGCATATGTCCATACTTCTCTAACAGGGCACCCACGCCCGCCAGCTCACCCTACTTATGCAGCAAATTTTACTTCTCTCTCGGTTTCTTTAGCCTCGCAAACGCTATCGCTTAGGCCCGCTTCATAAAGATTGTCCCCTCCTCCCACCCGTAAGCTCCTCCCTTCGCCCTCTCTTCCTCGCGAGCTTCCAAACATCTTTTCCCCGCCCCCTTTTCTATTTCTGAACAGGCATGTTCCGGGCAGCTCACCCGACTCCTTAGATTACTATGGGATCGGTAGGGTCCTGAGCGTTGGAGAAGCAGGAAAGCTTATCCTGTGAAGAAGGGCTTGGCTTGGATTTAGGAGAAGAATACTACATCGAGACCTGCTGAGGAATTTTATTTTATTTTATTTTATTTTTTTTTTTTTGGTCTTGGTTGTACTGAGGGAGGAAGAGGAGGTTGTGTGGCCCGGTCGACTTGTGGCAGCCTGAAGGCCCCTTCAGGCGGCGCCGCGGGCAGCCCCGCAGCCGGGGCCTGGTGCAGCCGCCGCGGCCGCTGTCAGGGAAGCGCAGGCGACCAATGGAACCCGGGAGCGGTCGCTGCTGCTGAGGCGGCGGTGTCGGCAGTCCGACCGCGACTGCCCGCACCCCCTCCGCGGGGGTCCCCCAGAGGTAAGCTACTCCTCCTCCATGAGTCACCTTTGCCCTGTTGGGGGGGTGGTCGCTCTCCCACCCTGTCCCGCACAGTCTTCTCCACCTGAGTTCGACTACGAAACTGCCCTCCTGGTGTCAACTGCACCCCGGGTTCCTTCTCCACCCTTTCCTCTCAGGCCTGGGGTCCTCCTCCGCTTTTTGGCTTCCTCTTCTATTAGCTCCTCCCTCTGCCTCGGGGATTCCCCCCTCCCTTACTCTTATCCCTGTTGCCTACATCTCGAATTATTCTTTTTTTAAGTCATGAACCCTTTCCACATCAGACGACTCCCATAGGCCCATCCTTGTCCTTCCTCGTCGTCTCTGCCCCTGCCCCAAACCTATTCCATGGACTCCACCTTTATCTCTTTTCCTGGTTTGCCCTTTTCTTCCGATGTCCCTGTGCAACTCCAGCACTGGGTTCCCATTTCCCTGAGACAGGGATTGTATCCCTGTCTTCCTGTGCTGCTTCTGATTCCATTACCTCACCGTCACCCACCCACCCAGCCAGCTCCTGGCTTCCAAGAATTGCCTGTTCCCTTCTCCTCAAGGGATCTCGGGCCCTTGTCATCAATCCCAAAGTGCCATTTACATTCTTACTTTGAACCTAGTCCTCACCCTTCTCTGGATGCATTATCTTCCCTACCCTTAATTTTCTGTAGCTTCTCTTTCTGCCTCCTCAATCACCCAACCTTCTAGAGGTTTCTGTCTGTAGGGGAGAGGTTTGACAGTGCCCTTCCCATTCAGGATTTCCACCTTTGACACCTCCCTCGAGTTTCAAGGATTTTGCTGATCCTTGTGACATTTGGTTCTGTTTTTCCCGTGGTCTTCTTGCGTTCTCTGTCACACTCTTTATCTCCACATACCACTTATTTCAGGATCAACTAAACCTTGAACTAAGAAGAAAAATGTGTTGTGAACAGGGGGAGCCTCAGCTGCCTCAGGCTGTTCAGGACAGAAGGGTGTTTCTGAAGGCCGGAGCAAGTTTTGAAGAAGTCCCTATCAGATTACACTTGGTTGACTACTCCGGAGCAGCCACTAGGAGGGATGAACAGGCCTGCGTGGAAATTGAATGAGATTGTGAGAAATCTTGTTTCAGATTATTTAATTTTAGGCTTTTGTTAAAGGAATCACAGAATAGAGTGCCTTCCCACCCCTGTCCAGATCCATGAGGAATCAGTTTACTCTTGTGGTTTACTAGAATAGTTTTGGTTGGGGTTCCATAAGAACTCAGGCCTGGAGTGGGGTAAGGGTGTAACTGGAAAAAGGAACATGAGACAATGGAAAGAGCTTATACATTCACAATCAGGACTCCTGGGTTCAGCATGTGACTTCCTCACTTGACCTCTAAAGCAATCCTTTTGGAAAATGGCCCACTCTCTATAGGCATCAGTGCAGTAATAAGTTGGTAGCAGGACGTGGGTTGGGGGAAAAAAATCAGATTTGGTTTCTTTGTTTACAAAACATTTTGGGTTCCCCAGGCAAAAGGTATTTATTAGTGATGGTTTAGTCATCCAGAGAATTTTCCTTCACCTTGATCTTTCTGTCGGATGTTTCTAGTCCACAACCAGGGGTGTAAGTCATTTTGAAAGACAAGCTCCAGGCCTGCTTCTTTCATCTGCTTTGCTTTTTCGCCCAGTGCATTAAGTGGCTGATTTTCTGTGCTGTTCCTCATGTACTTGATCCATAACTCCAGATTCTATAGGTGGAAAGTATGTTTGTGGGAAAGCACTTCAAGGAAACTGGCTGGAAAAGAGAACTTGGAGTGAACTGAGACTTAGGCAACTAGTTGCTGCCATGTCTCTCTCAGCCTGTGATAGTGAAAGGGCACATAAGATTCCATTCAGTTTCTAATTCTAGGCCTGTTTGGGAGTAGTTATGTCATCTTATCCCACTTCCTTTCTCTTCCTTGTTGTTAGCCATGGTACAATCTCCTCATAATTCCCCTTATTAGAAGAAGCTTTCCTGCCGGGCGCAGTGGCTCACGCCTATAGTCCCAGCATTTTGGGAGGCTGAGGCAGGCAGCTCACCCGAGGTCAGGAGTTCGAGACCAGCCTGGCCAACATGGTGAAACCCCGTCTCTACTAAAAATACAAAAAATTACCCAGGCATGGTGGTGGGCTTCTGTAATCCCAGCTACTCAGGAGGCTGAGGCAGGATAATTACTTGAATCCAGGAGGCGGAGGTTGCAGTGAGCCGAGATCATGCCAGTGTACTCCAGCCTGGGTGACTGAGTGAAACTCTGTCTCAGGGGGAAAAAAAAAAAGAAAAAAGGAGAAGAAGCTTTCCTTCTTGGAAGCATCTCCAACCAGAAATCGTATTTGCTCTCGTTCCCCTGCTTTCTTCTTAGAGTTGGGTCCACACTCCATGAGAATGCTGAATACCATGCAAAGCAGCAAATTGAGATTCCTTGATTTGGGGAAGAGATTTGGGAGGAACCCTTCAATAATTGGCATGGGACAAGAGGGGACCCAGTCCAAGTGTATTTGGGACCCGCAGTAGGGAGGAACAATTCAGAGAGAGGTGAGTGCGCAGGCTGCTTTCTTTGCCATCTGTCTGTTTCAGTAGTGGCTCCCAGAGCTGGCTTGGGCTGTCCGGCTGGAATCTGCTTATACCAGCTCCATGGCTCAGCACAGAGTTCTCAGCCTGAATCAATATTGACTTAACTACCATGAGACCACTGCCTTCCCTACCCTCCTGCTAGTTGCTTGAGAATGCCCTCTCCTCTAATGCCCGCACTCTCTTGGGCCTTGTGTCAGCATTTACCTGGATCCTGGTAGGGCTGGAGCTGGCTTCACTGCCGGGCCCTGAGTTTCTATAAGGAAAAAGGAGTGCTCAATCTCTACCTTTACCATTGAGGTCAAAGGGGAGAGATGAGTTGAGACATCCTTAAAGGAAGGTTTGAATTAGACTTTAAGACTTGAGGAGGTACTCCTCAACAGCAGAACAGGCAGCCAAAGATGATGTGGAGTCTCTTTTGAGGAGCAACCTCTCTTTAAAAATTATTTTTGGGCCTGGCACCGTGGCTTATGCCTGTATTCCCAGCACTTGGGGAGGCCGAGGTGGGCGGATCACTTGAGGTCAGGAGTTGGAGACCAGCCTGGCATGTTCGAGATAACATGGTGAAACTCCGTCTCTACTAAAAATACAAAAATTAGCTAGATATGGTGGCGTGTGCCTGTAATCCCAGCTACTCGGGAGGCTGAGGCAGAGAATCGCTTGAACCTGGGAGGCGGAAGTTGCAGTGAGCTGAGATGGCGCCACTGCACTCCAGCCTGGGTGACAGAGCGAGACTCCATCTCAAAAAAAATTTTTTTTGAAGGAATGCATGCATTTGGTAACAAATCCAATGGTACTCAAAGAGTTTATGAAGAAAAACAACAGTCCTGTTTCTGTTCATCCCTATTCCTGTTCTCGCAGAGTTAACCTCTTTAATTATCTCAGTGTTCTGAAGGTTGTCACCATAGCTTTAGATAAAATGCTAGTTCCTCTGTTTCTTTGTTTTTTTGTGTTTTTTTTGTTGTTGTTGTTGTTGTTTTTGTTTGTTTGTTTTGAGATGGAGTCTCACTCTGTTGCCCAGGCTAGAGTGCAGTGGCAGGATCTCGGCTCACTGCAACCTCTGCCTTTGGGTTCAAGCAATTCTCCTGCCTCAACCTCCCGAGTAGCTGGGATTACAGATGCCCACCACCGCACCTGGCTAATTTTTTGCCTTTTTTGGTAGAGATGGGGTTTCACCATGTTGGCCAGGCTTGTCACGAACTCCTGACCTCAGTTGATCCACCCGCCCTGGCTTCCCAGAGTGCTGGGATTACAGCGATCTCGGCCCACTGCAACCTCCGCCTCCCAGGTTTAAGTGATTCTCGTGCCTCAGCCTCCCAGGTAGCTGGGATTACAGGTACCCGCCACCACGCCTGGCTAATTTTTTGTATTTTTTAGTAGAGACAGGGTTTCACCATGTTGGCCAGGCTGGTCACAAAGTGCTGACCTCAGGTGATCCACCTACCTCAGCCCCACAGAGTGCTGGGATTACAGGCACAAGCCACTGCGCCTGGCTGTTTGTTCCTCTATTTCTTTACTTATTGTTACAAACAAGGATTTAGCTTTAGAGGATATACCCCTCATTTACATAATTATGTCATTGTTTTTATTTCTTCTACTGGACACCTGTGTAACTTTAAATAATATTTAATATATTTGAACCTCTCTTTCTTTTCCATTAATTTTTGACAGTCTCTCTTAATTCACCTTGTAGAATGAATGTCAGATATTGGTTTCCTTACCTGTTTTTCCATCTCTTGTGGATCCATCTCAGAGGATTATAAGATGTATAAAAAAAGGATAGCAGAGTCTATTGTGGTGGCTCATGCCTTGTAATCTCAGCACTTTGGGAGGCCCACGTGGGGATAGCTTGAGGCCAGGAAGAAGCTTTCCTCCTTGGAAGCATCCCCAACCAGAAATCATATAGCGAGCCATGATTCCACCACTGCACTCCACCCTGGGCAACAGAGTAAGAGCCTGTCTCTTAAAAAAGAAAAAGGAAAAAAAAAAAAAACAAGGGGTGGGGAAATAAAGGATGCTTTAAAAGGAGGAAAATTGAGCCTGCCTGCCTGCTTGGAAGCAGGGCACTATATCAGATGATCTCTTAAAGCCATTATATGAAAATATAAAAACATAAAAATATCAGAATTGGCTCAAACCAATCCATATTTATCTAGTCCACGGAAAAAGATTTGCAAAAGAGAGTGGTGATTAACTGGGTGAGGGGATTGATTTGGGGCTCTTTACCATTCTGTCCTAGCAGAGACTGATCCAATAAGTCCTTCAGTGGAGGCGAGTAGAAAGTTGTTTGCCTAGAATCTTTCGAGGTGATAGGAAATGGGGAGCTAGGTTAACCAATATAAGTGTATATCTTCTCTGTTTTCTCCAGCTGCTGCTCTGCCTGACCTGTAACAGTTCCTTGTCACTCAGACCAGAATTCCCTGCTTTGCCCAGTTGGGAGCTGTGGAACTCAGTCAGTTGTCAACACTTCCCATCTTCCACCCCCTTTTCCTAGGGGCCAGCTGTTAGGCTGTGGAACAAGGGCGGCCTCTTCCATTTCCCTTCCAGTCTAACTGGAAGGAGAATTTAGGTTCCCAGTGTGAAGCGTAGAGCCTCAGTTGTCTGAACTCCCTTGAAGGCCATAGGAGTCATTTAATATTAAAAATTTAGATTGTCTTCTGTCACTTTTTCTTATTCCTCTGACTTAGAAGGGGAAGGCTGTTGAATACAGGACTTTTTCCTTCACTTTTTCTTTTGCTTTCTAGTCCTTTCACTTCCTTTATAACAGTTACCCTCAAAGGCATTTTTTTTTCTTTTGGAGGAGTCTCACTCGGTTGCCAGGGGCTGGAGTGCAGGGGTTTGAGTCTCGGTCCACTTGCAGCTCCACTTCCGGGTTAACCACCTCTCCCTGTCTCAGCCTCCGTAGCTGGGGGGACTACCAGGCGGCCCACCACCAGCCCGCTATTTTTTGTTTTTAGTAAGGAGGACAGGTTTCCACCGTGTTAGGCCAGATGGTCTCGGATCTCCCGACCTCGTGATTTCTGCCGCATTCTTGGCTCCAAAGTGCTGGGATTACAAGGCGAGATACCACGTCTGTAATGTAAAATCTGCCACGAGGCATATTTTCTTGCATTCAAATAAATGACCAGTTGGGCATGGTGGGGTCACACCTGTATCCGCCACTTTGGGATTCGTTGCTGAGGCAAGAGTCAGACCAGGCCGAGCACGAGCGAGCCTGTGTCTATACAACATTTTTTACATTAAAAAATGGAAGAAAGATGAACTGAGTTTGAGACATATCTGGATCCTTGGTTTTTGGAGAATCCCTTTCATTTTTTTTTTTTGAGATGGAATCTTGCTTCTTGTCGGCAGGGGTGGGAGGCACACAGGGCACCGTTGTGACTCCCTGCCCTCCGCTCCGGAGTTCAAACGGATTCTCCTCCTCCAGCCTCCTGAGTAGTGGGACTAAGGCGTTGCGCACATCCAGGCTATTTTGTTCTTTTTAGTAGAGATGGTTCACTATATGGACCGATGGGTCCTCG